ATTCGGAATAAAATTCGGAAGCACCACGAGCACAAAATTGAAGCCGAAGCTTCGCGTGCCTAGGCTCGGCCAGCAGGGCTCCTTATGGCAGCCCACATGTTGCTGCCGAGTCAAAGCATGTGCGAGTGTGTGCAGGTGTGTGTGTGAGGGAGCGTACATGTGGTGCGTGGGTGCGACTGCCAGGCAGTGCCCAGCTTGCATAGCAGCGCCTGCGGGCCAGCATGAGCATGCGCGCAAGCACGCTGCTAGCGCCAGCGACACGCAAGCAAGTTGCGATGTTGCCTGTGCTAGCATGGTGCTGTGGCTGTGCAAGCATCACCCACGCACGATAGCAGGGCTTGGTGCCTAGAAAGCCTAACCTCATGGGTTGGATGCTAGGCACTCAGCCATTGAGGGCTATTATTTTGCGGTTTTTACGATTTTTGTTTTATTAAAACGAGCTAGGCCTCGGTTTTTCCCGGCACTTGGAAAATTATTTTGGCAAAATTTTAAGTTAACCGGCTTATTTAATTTTAATTGGATTAATTTTAATTAAGTTAGATGTGGAATTTATTGGGAGCTTCATTAATCGTTTGAGCTATTATTATTGCGTAAATTCACATAATGGGATAACAACTTTGGCTAGTTTTTAATTTGGCGCGTTAATCGGATTAACCACCTAAGTTAGTTACTAGTTTGCGCGTGTTTTGCATTGTTGCTTAATTTATTTTAAAATGCTTGGGCCATTCAATTAAGAAGTGAATGGATGAATGGAATAGATATTCTAATGCAGGCTTTATAAAATGGAAACTAGTGGGGCTCGACTAGGATAGTAAATACGGACTGCGTTCTGTTATGTATTTTTGTAAATCTAAATACGGACTACGTGCCGTTGAGTATTTTTTGTACCTTTATATTTAGATTAGTCCTAGTCATATTATTAGTAGTTACATCATTAGTGGTTATGTTTCGAAGATGGCGATTCTAAGAAGATGAAGAAGAAGATGCCAATGAAGATCCTTAAAGATTTGAAAATTCAAGTTTCAAGGGGTCATGCTAGTTGCCAAATGCATCTTTATTCTTCTTTATATATTTATGCTTATGCTTAATATAATTGCAATGTTAGATGCATGTTTAGGATTTCGAATGTTGAATGATTAGTTTAGTTTCACTTAAATCAACCAACATAGAAACCCTAGGTCCTATAAAATTGAGTTAAAATTTGCCATTCAAAGTAACATTTACCGGAACTAATGAGAATAGTGATGGGCTATGCAAAGCAAGGCATTACTACTTTCTTAGGAATGTAAAGTATACTAGGTATACACGTTGATTTTGGTTAAACTCAACGATATCGGTAAGGAGTTCTTAGATGTCGTGGCAATGGAGATAAACGTCACAGAAGCATTAGATGCGAGTTTATCGAAACCAAAAATAGCTTAGGGATATTAGAAATTGGATTGTTTACCTTAAAGTATTAAGTTTAAAGACAAGCCAAAGCACGTTTAATCACTTTTTGATTTTGAGGTCTTGGAATTATTTTATTCTCGCCTAAAAGGGACAAATTTTAATGTGTGGATAAAATGCTTATTAAGATTGAAAATTTGCATGCATTTCAAACTTATTGGTTTTATGAATGGTTTTTCATTACAAATTCTTTTAAATTGTAGAAACATGTCTGCCTATAACACCAACAACAATCAATTTTCATTACGCTCAATTCTCGATAAGGAGAAATTTAGTTGGACAAACTTCCTCGATTGGCAAAGGAACTTGCGAATAGTTCTCATGCAAGAGTCAAAAGGAATACGTCCTTGATGAGGAGATGCCTGACGCTTCTAATGAGGAGGTCACACAGGCTACCTAAACCGATGGCACACTGCCAATCGAGATGTCAAATGCATCATGTTGGCCACAATGTCTCCGGATCTCCAAAAGACCTTCTTTGGAAAGGAGACGACTTTTGAGATCATTTTTGAACTTTAGAACATGTTTCCAAGAGAAGGCTCGAACTGAGCGGTTTGAGACCCACAGGCATATCCTTGGGAACAAGCTCAAGAAAGGAGAGCCGGTCAGCCCACATGTACTTAAAATGATCGGATTATTTGAGAACATGGAAAGGCTTGATGCTAGGTATTCAACCGAGATGGAAATTGACATTATTCTCCACTCGCTGCACAAAGAATATGATCAGCTCAAGATGAACTATAATATGCATAGCATGGAGAAAACCTCATTGAGCTTCATGGAATGTTGAAGCAAGCCGAGCAAACATTTAAGAATGAGGGGAAGCATAATATGGTAATGGTCAAGAAGGGCAAGCCATTTAAGCGCCTAGGCATGAAGAAAGGCTTTAACGGGAAGGGAAAGAAGATCTTTTTGCCTAAGTCAAAAGCTACCAAGGAAAACAAGGAAAAGAAGGTAGCCTCTTCTCAATCCGATTCCGATTGTTTCTACTGCAAGAAGAAGGGACATTGGAAACGAGATTGCCTCAAGTTCAAGGAAGATAAGAAGAACGACACCGTTACTTCTAGATCAAATATTTTTGTTTTAGACGTTTACTATACTAGCAAAGCATCATGGTATTAGATACCAGATGTGGCTCACACCTTTGTTCCAATGCTCAGGAACTAAGGAAAAGTGGAAGGCTAGTGAAGGGAGAGGTGGCACTCCGGGTCGGCAATGGATCTAGAATTACAGCCGTATCCGTTGGGACTCTTAGTTTGTCTTTGCCCTCTAGGCTTGTTTTAGACCTTGAAGATTATTATCATGTTCCAAACATTACCAAAAACATTATTTCAATTTCGACGTTGGACGCCAAACGTTTTGAATTTCGGATAAAAGACAATAGTTGTTCATTTTATCTTAATAATGTTTTATATGGTACGACACATTCAAAAAATGGTCTTTATGTGCTTTCACTAGACAAACAGGTTTATAATGTTAATTATACCACCAAAAGGGCTAAGACCGTGGTGTCGAATCAAACTTACTTGTGGCATTGTCGTTTAGGCCTCATTAAAATCAAACGCATCAAGAAACTTCTTCATGAAAGGATTCTTGACTCATTTGACTTAGAGTCGTTTGAAAATTGCGAAGGATGCTTACTAGGCAAGATGATAAAGCAACCATTCTTCAAGTTCGGAGAAAGGGTTGGTGACTTATTGGACCTCATACACACGGATGTATTGTGGAACAATGAGCACAACCGTAAGAAATGGTTATCACTATTTTATCACATTCACGGACGACTATAGTAGATATAGCTATGTCTACCTTATGTCGCACAAATCTGAATCTTTTGAGAAATTCTTTTCAGATTGAAGTGGAAAATCAGCTTGGCAAGAAAATCAAAGCACTTCGATCAGATCGAGGTGGTGAGTAACTGAGCTACGAATTCAACGATCATCTGAAAGAACATGGTATTCTCTCTGAACTAACCCCAAGTCCGTAACCTGTAGGACAATCAAGGATCTCTCCACCATGCATGCATGGTCAGCTCAAAGGCTTCATCTTCAAGTTCCTGTTGGGACTTAGAAAGGTATATCAACCTCAACTCTTCAACTTTATCTTTCGCATCATCCTATAAAAACGCCAAAAAATAATATAGTAAAAGAACATCATTTCCACATAAAATGACAAGCTTTAAAACACATTTAGATCTTTTACCACAAAATCTTCAGTCACTGTGCCTGGAAGAAAACTTCCATCCTTGCTTGTATGAGGTTTTTTCCAGGGAGCTAATAAGCTCATCTTTTCTCCATGGTCATCTTCCTATATATTAGTAATGTAAGAAAAAAATATATATGAACAAGATGATTACATAATCAATTAGTTAAAAAAATATGTTTGTAGCGTATGATGGTCATTTATACGAATGGTTCATACATGGTCAGCTTGTTTGTTCGCAAAACTGTTAGAACCGCATCTATGTAATTGATTTAGGGAGGCCCGTGCTGCTTTACCACATGCTCATAGTGACTGCACTCATATTCAAAGTCATAAATAAAATTAAGGGGATGCCCTGCATTCTTCAATATAATTAAGGGGATACATTTATGCCAAACAACTAGAGTTAATACTATATGAGTACTATGTTACTATCAGAGCTGTGATCTTGGAAGATAGGAGAGAATTTTTCATTATGTAGTTTGCATTAAGACCAAATAAACTCTAATTAGAAAGCAAGATGTCTGATATCTCAATAGGAAGAAATGTACTTACTTTCCCTTTCTCTGAATCCCAATACTTAAGTAGCTTTATCCAATTTTGACTACTAATCCCATGCGGTGGTGTAGCGCTACACATCTCTTCTAAATTTTTCTCTATTGGTTTGTAGTAATCCTTCTTAAGATTAAACTTATATTGCCTCCAACTTTTATTAACACGCTTGAGGTCTGCTTTGTTATATTGTTCACTTATGGGAATCACAAAGCGATCCTTATATATGAAAAATAAGTAACTTCAGTAAGAGTATTATAGGTTAGTAAAAATAAACAAATAAATTCATGAATGAAAAGTAGTTTCTTATGACAAGTAATAGAAAAGAGGTGATACACATTCTCATCTCATTAATTATCTTCTTTTTAAAATAATGCTCATCAATAACATGCCAATCCTCTTCTCCAAGTGGACAATACGTCTCTATCTTCGTAATTTTACCAAGGAATCGGATTAAAATATGTCCACCTTTTCGAATGGGTTGGTACAAGTCATTAAATTCAACATAGAATCTGAAGCCATTATTACTCCAAACATTAATAGGCTGAATAGAACCACTCAAGTACACAATGTTACCATTAGCATCTGCACAAAAGCAAGGGACTTAAAAATTGAATAAAATTGCAAATTTATTTGACACATGCATACTAAAGATAATATATTGCTGGAAAAGAACATATCATCCTACTTAACTAGTGATTGTTCGTTATTAGTTTTGTAGATACCAATGATTACTGTTAGGTTTTTAGTGAATTCAATAAGAAAAACACTTAAAATTTGTGTGGGAACAAAACCTAAATTATATGATTACAATTCTAAATTGAAAATATCAAATACAAAACAATGTATTACAATCAAGTATTAGAATTGTCAATGAAATTACTGAAAATTTACAAAGACTACACTAGTGTGAAGTATCAAACTTGCCTTTCCTCCAAGCCGACAACACTAAGCATGAACATGAGAATATCGATGACCACGTAAAGTCTCAAACCTTGATACACTGTCAAGGCGTGTATACACTTTCCTAAAGAGGTTTATTTCCCCTACACGATGCTTGGGTTAAACTAGAAATCCTCTTTGAGATATAATTGACAGCCAATTTCGTTCTTAGCACTAGAAACGAAATACAATGAACAATTCACAATGATGGCTAAGGTTCAAGAATTTTTCTCACAAAAGTTTTCAAGAAGTTTGAGAGAAAATGTGGAGAAAAGTTGGGAAGAATTCTGTAAAATGAAAAACTCTCTCTCCTTTCGTTAAAACGAAAGATATTAAAAAGACGAGAAAATAACCGCAAAAAACCGCAGACAAAGGAAGCAGCGCGGGCTTGCCACCAGGCCACGCGGGCGCGCCTACCAATTCTGCCCAAATTTTGCATTTTTCCAGAGAGTTGGCGCGATTTTGAAGCAGTTTTGTCGCGGGCCGCGCCAACCGTGCACGGACGCTCCACTCTGACTCTCTAAATCATTCGATATAATCAAATGATCACAATTTCTCTCATACACTCTAAATCATCTAACAATCCTCCCTCATTTAGAGTGTATACCTTTTAAAACATTCTCCACTTCTATTCACTTAGCCACATCTCATGCATCAATGTTAATGTCCTTCGGATTGAATTAACACCTAGTACAACACACTTAACGATGATCATATCCATGATTTCCATATAGATTGAATCACACGAATATATCCAACTATTCGAAGGTGAAGTACACACAAGACAAATCGAATTAATCATCACTTGACACTTTTATACAGCCATGTGTCCGTATCTTTTATAAGTTCATCAAAGTCTATATGTCCATCTAGACTTCTTGAAGCGGCTAAACTTCGAACTTATATAGGTAGGTTCTCATATACGTAATAGTGCCCTTGTGACAAGACACCTTCATCTAGAGCTTCTCAACTCTAAATCTTTGAGAACTTTAAATAAACGCTACCTTGCACGTCACAAGTATCATAGCAATATGGGTCATCAAACATTGCTAACAAACAACAAAAAATGCAATTCAACCACATTTAATCTAAGACATGATGTTTCTTCAAGCGTTAGATTGGGTTTCACAAGTTCGTGTTTTTGGACATAAACCCATTCCATCCATAGCAAATATGATGGAATGCCTTGGCATTGCTTTGTAAAGCAATTTGACAAATTCAACTTTGTTGGAACATAGTCAAGACTTATGACCCCATCATTGATAAGCTCTTTCACTAGGCTACGCCTAAGTGAAATATGCCGAGACTTACCATTGTACACTTGACTATAAGCCTTTATTAACGCCAAATTGGAATCACAATGGATTGCCACCGGTGGCATTGGCTTTGTCAATAAAGGCAATTCTATCATGAGATTCCTCAACCACTCAGCTTCTTTACTAGCTGAAGCAAGAGCTATAAACTCCGCTGCCATAGTGGAATCCACCATGCAAGTTTGTTTCTTGGAAGACCGTGAAATGGCACCTCCTCCAAACATGAATACCCAACCACTTACAGAAGAGTCATCCTCTTTGTAAGTGATCCAACTTGCATCAGAATCCTTCTAAAACCGAAGGAAATCCACTAAACATCAGACCATAGTCAAACATACCCTTAAAGTACCTCAAGACCCTCCGAATTGCAAACCAATGTTGTACACCCGGGTTACTAGTAAATCTACTTAGTTTCCCCACAGCCAATGCAATGTCTGGTCTTGTACTAGTCATGGCATACATCAAGGATCCAATTATCTTGAATTTCAAATTGGGAAACTGTTTTCCCCAAATTCTTAACCAATTTAACATTAGGTTCCATGGGGGTGTTCACGGGACACTTATCAAACATATTAAACTGTTTTATCATATTCTCAATATAATGAGATTGACTTAAGATAAGTCTTCCAATGTTCCTAATAATCTTAATGCCCAAAATGACATCCGCCTCCCCAAATCCTTCATCTGAAAAGACGAGGATAAGAATTCCTGGGTCAATTCTACTTGTTGTAGACTTGTACCAAAGATAAGCATATCATCAACATATAGATAAATGATGACACCATGACCTTTGTCATCAAATTTGCTATAAATACACTTATCATCTTGATTCACTTTGAATCCAAAGGACAAAATCGTGTCATCAAATTTTCGATGCCACTGTTTTGGTGCTTGTTTATGTCCATATAATGACTTAACCAATTTGCACACCTTATCTTCCTGTCCTTCCAAAACAAACCCTTCGGGTTGTTTCATATACACTTCTTCCTCTAGATCTCCATAAAGGAATGTCGTTTTGACATCCATTTGATGAATCACTAGATTTTATACCGAAGCCATTGCAATCAATAACCTTATGGAGGTAATTCTTGCAACCGGTGCATAGGTATCGAAATAATCAACACCATGCTTTTGTCTAAACCTTTGGATAACCAATCTGGCTTTAAATTTCACTATGGAGCCATCCAGTCTCCTTTTCCTAGTGAAAATCCATTTGCAACCAAGAGGTTTGCAACTAGGAGGTAAATCCTTTATGAACCATGTATTATTTCCCATGATAGAATCCATCTCATCATTTATAGCTTTCTTCCAAAATACACTATCTTGACTAGATATTGCCTCGCTATAAGACTTTGGATCACTATCCACATTAAAACAATATGGAATAGTAGAACTAAGGACATCCCTAGAACCTTCAACTAAATAAATTATAAAGTCATCAAGAGGGTTTCTAGGTCTTCTTTCCCTAGTACTTCTCCTAACTTGAGGAGTTTCAACATTCTCATTATCGAATGTATCTTCATGAGGTTCAAGTTGATCATTCAACTCTACTATCTCCCTATCATTGGCACTAATTTGTATATCTTTCGGTCTACTCATTGATGAAAACCGATTTTCATCAAAAATTGCATCTCTTGACTCAATAACCAAATGAATCGATATATAGTCATTTTGTTCTATTACATAAAACCTATAGGTTTTTCTATGCTCAGCATAACCTATAAATATGCAATCCAAGCCCCTGTCACCGAGCTTTCTCTTTTTGCTACCAGGCACTCTTACGATTGCCCTACAATCCCAAACCTTGAGATACTTCAAGTTTGGCTTTCTTTTGTACCATAGTTCATAAGGAGTAGATTGTTTTCCGTTAGTGGGAACCCGGTTCAGAATGTGACAAACTATTAATTGCTTCACCCCAGAACCCTTCACTCAAACCAAAGTAAGATAACATGGAATTAACCATTTCTTTAAGAGTTTTGTTTTTCCTTTCAGCTACACCATATGATTATGGTGCATAACCCGCTGTAGTCTCATGAATTATACCTAAAGATTGGAAATAAGCTGGATAATAATATTCCCCTCCCTTATCAGTTCTTATTCTCTTAATTAATGATTCTACTTGCAGTTCTACTTCCCTTTTATAAATATCAAACTTTGTTAAAGCTTCATCTTTGGAATGCAAAATATGCACATAACAAAACCTAAAATAATTATTTATAAATGTAATCATGTATCTTTTGTTCCCCAAAGAAGGAGTACTATGAAAATCACACAAGTCACTATGGATCAGTTCTAAAATATTAGAACTTCTCTCAACTCTCTTAAAAGGAGTTCTAGTGATGTAGTTCAACATGCAAGTAGAACATTTATTAGGAGAAATATCACAAGAAGGTATCAGTTCTTGTTTTGACATGAAAAGCATTTTATTATAATTCACATGTCCTAATCTAGAATGCCATAAGTCAAACATATTCAAATCAACATGATTATCATTGACAT